TATAGAGATCTATCTTCTTACAAATAGCTACCTAAATTAATAATTAAAAAAGTTTTATAAAAATAAATCAGAAAATTTTATTTACCTAATAAGAATCAACTGAAATCTATATGTAATAGTTTGTTTTGTTGAGAATATAGATTTAAAAAACACCTTTAATAGGAGTTTAATCACATCCAAATGTAGTAAATTTTTATTATATCAAATCAAACCAAGCTATTGAACATATAGTCTTTTAATTAAGAAAGACTACTTTATTTTAATAGTCAATATATTAAAGAAAATAATCCTAATCTAAATCAGTTTATTCAAAAACAATTTGCTTTGTAATAAAATTCATTACTTTTATAGAATTATTAGCTAAGCAGCCTCCATATTCTTCCAAAATAAAACTCTTTTATTAAGCTTCCTCTCCAGTATTCATATATTTAAGCTCAAAGTCTGGCATATTTTAAAGTATCTCTATGTAAATTATCTAAAAATTTTAATCTACTAAAGCAAAATTGCATGAATTTGCTCTAATAAGGTAGTAATCTTGATATAATGAGTTTAATTGGAGAACTTTTTAATTGAGTAGTGGAGGAGTATCGTTAATTTGTATGCATTAGCTAATTTTTTCGCATATTTATGTTTTTTAATTTGGATAGTATGAGCTTGGGCAGCTATTTATACACTATTATTTTGTAAAAGGTTCTTAGATAAAATCCTATTCAGATTAACAAATTTTTGGTTTTAGTGAGCACTCATTATTTACCTTATCAAAGTATAAATTAGGACTGCATTGCAAGCAGTTTTATTTAGAATCACATTTAATGCATCCTACAATCTAGCATTTAATACATTATTAGTTATCTGCTTTTATTTCTCCAACTTCGCAATTTTAAACACATGTAGAAGAATTTAAATTACTTTTGTAATAATTCTGAGGGCAACTTATGCAAGAGTCTTAACTAGTGCTAAAACAATTTTAGCAGCTGCTTGAACACGGCAAACACTATTATTAAACTAGATTAAATACATTTCCTCTTGAACATTCAGCTCTAATCTTAGATGCTAGAGTAAAAATAATTGTAAAAAATAATCTTATTTTCATTCAAAATTGTATGATCGTTTTATTGTCTATTTGTTTTGTTATTTTGAAGCAA